AACACTGGCACTAATACGTATTGAGTCTAATGTTCCTGGGCTGTTTACTGATTAGAATTCTGTAGGCCTCTCTTAATCAGATGTTATCTTCATCGGGCTGCAGACTAGAGGTCCACTATGAAGAATATATTTTCTTTTATGTGCAGTAAATCTTGAAAATGCAAAAATGTTCTGCGCAGCGATGCTGTGACAGGCCAGCTATATCAACTGCCAAACTGTCTGACATCTTGTCCGAGCCGTTTTGGAACACTTCCTAACAGAGGTGACGTATTGCCCATCTCCTGACATAAAATTGCTACTTCTGAAATAGTTTACTTTTTCATTTCCCCACCAGTCTGTAGCTCTCAGCTGTTTCCTCTAAGTAGCAGGGGTATGCGGTTCGGAGCTTTAGTGCTTAGAGTTCAGACGGATGTTCTATCAAGGATTTAGCCCAGCCTATAAATGGAGTAGCCCTCTGTTCTGCATAACTGCCAAAAGGGTCACAGAGCTATTGGAAGTGACCGCTCTCTCTGCTGACTCAAAAGGCCAGAAATGCAGTTCTTTGCAAAAAAGCGAGAGCTTGATTGAGTTTTCGTGTTTGCCATTCCATGAAAATCAAAGAAGGTCATGCCTAGTGTTTAAAGAGAACCGAGAATCCTTTGCTAAGTGGAAATTCACTGTATTGACAGTGACTTTAGATGACAGGATGCTTCTAATTATCAAAGTGACTTCTTGAAGCAGAAAACTAAAGTTGGTTCTGGTGATAAAAGACCATAAGAAATATTTTGTCTTGGGCAAATGTTCTCATTAACAAGTGAAGAAGGGCTATTTGTACATTATTAGCAATTCAAAGATGGACAGAGTGAAATAGTCAAATTGCAAATAAAGTCTGAGGGCAAATACAGCCTGTCAAGATGTGATATGCTAAAAAGCAGAGCGAGGGTGATGTAGGAGACATGCCAGAAATGTTTACTAAATTAAACATCATCTCAGAAGCACTGGGCATTTTTATATTCAAATCCAACACTCAATGTCATCTTCATTTGAACTGCATCATTTAGTTTTCCATTAATGCAGGTCTGAGGAAAAAGATTAATTTGTTTTTCATTCTAATCTTGATCATTTATTTTTTAATTCATGGACAAACACCAACTAAACTGAAACATTTGATCAGTTATAAGTAATAATGAGCGTCATTTTTAGAACGGTAGGGATGTGAGGGTTGTGGGTGCATAAATTAGTTCGCATCTATCAACTATGTCACATGTCAGCACATACTGTCAGTGCATTTTGTGTTTTTTTTGGTTTTCTTTATTTGATGTGTGAGAACACCAGGGACACATTTCAACAAACTCAGTCTAGGTTAGGCAGGTAAATGCAGTAATTATTAAATATAATAAACCCGGGTGGCGGGAAGGGCGTGATCAAGCAGAGCCGAGTTAAAAAAAAACAAGATTTGTTCCGTTTGTCATGTAAGAGTTACATGTAGAAAGCATGCTTAATTTGAGTTGTAATAAAATAAAATAAAAGCTCTGCACTTGTCTGTCCTAATGTCGACCACCCAAAAAATGAAGTAAAACCTGATGCCAGTAAAGTTGCAGTCAATACGTTTAAGCTGAGGTCTTCAAATCCAGACCTTGAATCCAGTTACATTAAATGTGTTTGTAGCCATTTGTTTGACACTTCTTTAATTTTGGAATGCAAAAGGATGTAGTTCATAAAAAAGATGAGTGCTAGAATTACTTGTACTGAGTGCTGATTGGCTGGCATTACTGCTACTGAGTGCTGATTGATTATCATTACTGCTACTGAGTGCTGATTGATTATCATTACTGCTACTGAGTGCTGATTGGATGGCAAGCAGATCAGCTCAATGGCTGAGTAAAGCAGTTCATGCTCACTGGTGTCATGAAAATGCATAAGACACTGTTAGAAAGTCATATAACTGGCATTAAAAAGTGCTGAAAAATATGACAGCAGTGTTGCTACAAAATTAGTGCATTTTCTATATAAAAATGCTAAAGCATTGACAAACTTCATAGGAGCCCATTCATTTTGGACCCACTTGGGAGTGCACTCTAGTATCAGACAAACCCACAAAAAAATATGGAGTGACAATTCTCATTAAAAATGCTCTAGTGATACCTACTAGTGATTACAAAATAAACAGCTTGAAACTGGATTCAGCTTCAGCACAATTGTCGATTCAAAGACCTGTTTTGGAGATACAGTATGCTCAAAAGATCTGAGATATTAGCCAGACCAGAGTTGGGTCCAGATCTAAAATTGCATAGTTATTTTGGTGCATTTTGGACCAGGAACATTTGGTTTTCCATGGGTCAAGCTGGCTCTTGATAGCCTAATGGCACTTGAAAATGTCTCGTTTACTTGACACTTATATAAATGTTCCTTGATGGTTTTTGCTTTGGGTGTACATTGCTCGGGAAACCTTTATATTATATGGAGGTTCTTAAACTTTAAAAAGTGTTCTTCACTCTTTTAGAAAAATGTTCTTTAAAGAGCCATGCATCTAAAAGTACAACAGTATTTGTCCTTTAGCTAAAAAAAATGTTTTGGTTCTCAACTTAAAGCTACACTATGGAAGCTTTAGAGATTTGGGGACCTCTCTGGTGGAAATGTGTAATAGCGCACAATGTACAGGTCAACATTTGTAACACTGGTTGTGCCTCAGACCCCTTCTCCGAGTGGATGAAAGAGAATTTAAAGAGAACTCGAAACTTGGTGATGGACGTGTCTTCTGAGGATGTAAGTGAATTATCTACTCTTATCATCATATCTTCATCAGTATAATGTTGATCTTGTGTTTGAGGGCTAAACATTGAGCCAGACCTTTTTGTGTCTGGGCGAGCCTATGTGATGTTAACATACACAAATACGTGAAGATGTATGACGAGGTCCAAAAAACTCCCTCTAAATCCAATTCAACATATTCAACACATTATTTTTTCAGGCTTTGCAGAGTGACTTGCAGCAGCACATGCACACCGTATTTTATTATGTTACATTAATATGTTTTTTGTTTCTCCTGACTTAGCAATGCTACTGCTTTCAGTTAAAAAGTATTGTGCAGCTTTAACTTTGTCACCTCATAGCTCATATTTCTGCCGTCTCTTCAGTCTCACAATGGAGATTTCTAAGCACTGTTTTAGAGCAATTTTCAGTTTTTAGTCCATGTCATGTAGTCAAACTCTAAAAGCACACAGTTTACAATAGAATACTTCTAAGATCATGAATCTTTATTTGTACTATAATACTCTGCCCCAAGGACATGCTTATTACCTTACCATGCAAAGCATTTTCCTTCCAATGTCCTTCTTCTGTTTACAGCTCAGTGCTGGAACAGTGTTGTCACTGTGTTCAGTGTCCTTCCTCTATAGGGGGCAGTTTGCTCACAAAAGCTCAGCAGTGACTCATTTTTTATTGTGAAATGCAGGTGCATGCACTATAGCAATGCAGCCTTTGCTTTTATGTCCTCTTCGCATCACCTGTGTCTTCCCTCTTCACTACACCTAAAATCAGTGACTTTTCTGTCATGTACCATACTGTGCAAAAAAGAGACCACCCTTCTTTTATTTCATTTCTAGTCAAAATGACTCTTTTTCAGAGATATCTTTTTTTCTATCTTTTTCAGAGACATTTCTGAGGAGATTAGAAGCTAATCCACGTGCATAAAGAAGTGGAAAGTCAAAGGAAAATAAGTGAAAAAAGAAGTTTAAAAAATATTAAAAGATAAAAGCTTTATCTTTGATAAGAAAAGCTTTGATATACAAATATTTGATATTAAAAGCTTTATCTTTGGGAGAAAATCAAGCTCCACGCTTCAGATCTGACAAAATCCACAGGTGTCTCTGTCCATCCTTCCACTGTGAGTAGACAATACAACACTATGAGTCTAAAGGAGGTGTAGCTGACAAACTAAGAAGCTGCTGATGTTCTCAGAACAATGGACTGACCACCCCCACCCCAGAGTCCAGACCTCAACATCATTGAATGTGTTTGGGATTGCTTGGATTGTGAGAAATGGAAAGTGCAACCAACTTCTAAGACTGAACTTCGGAGGGGTAGTGAAATATCCTTGGAGATTTCTTTAAGAGACTGAAAGCAAGCCTCCTGAAAAGAATGGAAGCTGAAATAAAGGTAGAGTGGATACACTGAATACTGAACAACCTGATATTCAGTTTAGACCACGTTTACACCTGGTCACTTCATGTTACTAGCATCTGGATTGTATCCTGATAAGATTTTAGCCACATGCATTTACACTTGGTAGTCAAATGTGGCTTTGGTTAGTCAGACTGAAAACTCATTGCTGGTGCCGGAATATGCAAATCCACTCATTACGCAGCTACGTTCTTTGGAAGCAGTTCTTTCTAGAGCTGTTTAGAAATTTGCTTGAATATTGGTTCTGTAAGTCGTCTTCAGTTTGTTTTGCACAGCAATGTGTGCTCGTATTACTATTAAGCATTACGCTACACATGTGTGTCCTCCATAATTGTCTTTCTCTCAGATATGGATCATGTGCCCAGTGACATACTGCATGAGGAGGAGTTTCGGTTGTGCTGGGTGGGGTTCTTGTTGTCGAATGTATCATGGAGAGATGGATGCGTTTACACTGCTATAACATGTGGCTCAAATGCGTCTCAGACCACCTCCTGAAGTGCTTTGAGTGATCAGATATGTATTAGTTTTAAATGCGTCTTGGGTGCGTTTACACTTGCCTTTTTATGTGGTTCGGCCTTATCCATAGATAATTCTGATACTCAGGATGCATGAAGTAAACGGGGTCTTACTTGTTGAAGGTTTTGTGTAGTTTTCTGTTAAATGTTTTCTGCTTATTTTGCTGAACCAGAAAAATGAATAACTTGTACTTAAAGGCTGTTTTGAATGGAAATTAAATGAACAGTGCTCTCTGGATTGAAGTGAGATTTTTGGCATATGTTCGGAAAGTAAATGCTATATATTGATAACTGTGATCACCAATTCAGTGCATTTTGTTAGTATTGAGTTTGCACAGTTTTTTCACTTTTTTATTTACAATGGGAGAGCCGCCCTGAACATGTCAGTATTTACAGCATGAATCAAAAAGGCCTTAATTACATTCTCTACAAACAAATCATCATTGCTGTATCAGAACTGTGTAACTCTTTATCTTATTTGTTTTGTTTTTAAATTGTTTACAGCATTTTGAAAACATCAGATGCCTTTTATATCGTGTGGACATTGTATGATGAATTTCTTGGAATAAAAAATTATACATGTTGTTAAAGTTAAGAATGTTATTTCCTTTTCCTATGAAATTACCATTTTAGTGATGCAGAAGTATTCCACCCCTAGTTAAATATCTTGTTGATTTTCAAAGTGAGAATAAGTTAACACACTTTTTGATGCACAGTTACTGTTTATTTGCTGGATTTAACATATTTGGAAAAAAAGAAACATAAAAAGTGGCCTGTGCAAAAGTTATGGCCTATTTTATATTTTGTTTTGTTTTTTCTAATATGTCAGCAAATAAATAGAAATTGTGCACTAAAATGAGCAGAGAAATGGCACATTTTTTTGTTCTCTCTAGAAGATGTGTTAACCTGTTTTCACTTAGACGATCAACAAAACATATAATTTGACTGAGGGAGCCCAAACTTTTACATACAACTGTAGATTCTGGAGGTTATGTCACAACAGCGCAGATAATAATGTGCCAGTCTGGAAGCTCATGATGGTGGGCTGGTGTCTAATTGCTGTTGATGGCCTCCACCTGGTGGGAGCGAGCGATGAAGGTGTTGAGCACCTTCTGTAACATCTCAGCCCTCATCTTGCTGATGTGCAGCACCTCCTCATGATTGACCTTCTCCTCGCGGCTGTAGTCCAGGGACACTTTGTTGGTGATGAGTGAGAGGCCGAGGACCCGCAGGCCACAGTGCTTGGCCACTGTCACCTCAGGTACTGTGCTCATGCCTGCAGGGATGACAAGAGGAGGACAGAGGGACAGGAGAGAGGGACAGACATGCTTAATTAAATGGCAATTATCTTTGTGGTGAATTACCCAACAGGAGCCTGCCCTGCATCATTAATAGCAGCGAGCAGCTCTGGTTTGCATTTTAAATTCGTAATGAGGACTAACGCTCTGCTGGATGCCCAGCCATCATGACAGGGTTAGTTCAGGTAAGTGGAGTACGGGTTAGTTCAGGTAAGTGGAGTACAGGGTTAGTATGCTAATGTTAGTATACTAATGCTAACAGTTGTTAGGAGTCCAGTTAGTATGGCTGAACTCTTTAAGGAGATCTAGTGTCTATGACAGGCTACATTATTTATTAAAGTGGACATAATTTAATGAAGGGCTAATTACAGTGGATGAATGTCACACTACAGGCAAACATCAAAGAGAGCTGCATGTAAAACATGTCATTTTCCTTACCTACAGAGTCACTGCCCAGAATATGCAGCATGCGTGCCTCAGCAATTGTCTCAAAGTTGGGCCCACTGACCATGCAGTAAACTCCCTCTCGCACAAAGTTGGAGTAGCCCAGCTCAGCGCTGATGTCCAGGGCGAGCTTCCTCAGGTCTTTACTGTAAGCGTCAGACATGCAGGGGAACCGGATCCCAAAGCTAAAACAGACCAAGATTTCACACATGTTTTATATTTAATAATCACATATTACATATACATATAACGAATCACCAGTTTATTAGGTACATCTACCGTAAGATGTGCATTATGATGATATGTTATCATTATGATAATTTAAATTGTGTTACACTTTTCAGAGTGTATCATAAGCATCATCTAGAACACTAAACAACTGCATGTATCAGAAAAAAGACAGATTTCGAGCAATGATAAAAAGTTTGTAAACAACAATCAGTCAATAGTAACTAGCTGTAGTAATGAACTCTGCATAAACTGCATAGCAGCATGTTGACTTGACATCAGCCATGTTATCCAGCTATGCTTATTCTAAAAATGTATCTTCAAGTATTGGGATACCTTATTGTTACATTTTTTCCATATTGCCCACACTTGCTTGTACCTACACGCACCATTTTAGCAGCTACACCTACCATACAGGTACAGGTATTTTTACAGGTACTGATTGTATTCCAACTGTTGTTGCACTATTTGTCAGCCTCCCTCAACACTGTCCATCAGTGTAAAGATACCACAATAGGACCACCACTGACCAGATATTATCCAGGTTTTCAGCACAACCACAGCATTACCATGCTAATGGCATAAAGTAGGCTTGCTGGGAAATTATCTCTAACTGTACAAGTTGTACAAACAAGGTAGGCATATCACCCATGTTTGGGTCACTGCTGTGTTGAGAACGGTCCACCACCCATATTATATCTGGTCAGTGGTGGAACACTGTTTGGCAACCTGGTAATTTAGCATTTATTAATGCAGTGTTATGTTAGACTCATCTCAGGTTAATATCACCATCACTGGTAGTAATCCTTACCGCTCATTCCTATACTGTTTTTACAAGCCCTTGTTCACTTGCCTTGCCGTTTCACCTCTGGGGAATCCCCAACCCCATTTTAAGGGCCATTCTGTATTAGCTCAAGTTAAGTGTGTTAAATGAGCCCTCAGACGGGCGGGGCCCTTAGTGAACACTTCCCTGAGCATTTCCCTTTTAAACCCCTCCCCAAAAAGCTGTTTAGAAGCCATAGAAGTAAACTACTTTAAAATAGAGGCCTGCACTCCTGTGGAATATCTTGAGGCACGGGACTAATTTTCAGTGTTGTGTGCAGGAGTGGGTGGGAAATCAGCCCACTGCAGGTGGCAGCGGGCTGAAGCACGCATGACTAGCCTAAATAAAGTAGAACGATCATTAAATCACATATATAAACAATATAAAAGCATAACAGTAAAACAATTAAAATGAATTCATTATAAAGAGTTGCAAAGCAACCAATCATGTGAACAACATGCAAATTTTTACAGCCCAGCAAAACAACAAAAATAACCATTCTATGATTTAATTGCTGTTTTGTGTTGACTGGGAATAAATGGCGTTTGGTGAGGTCACTTCACAGTGAGCCTGATGACCATGGTTGCTGTGTCATTTCGGCAGAAAATAATAAATTGGTGAATAGACTGTGTCAGATTTTGAATGTCAGATTGCCTTGACGGAACTGTGTGGACGGGAGCAGGGCAAAACGTTTTGGTTGCGGGTGGGAGCGGGACAAATGATTCAGATTTTTTTGCCGGAGCAGGCGGGAGCGGGATGAAATCTTGCGAGAGTGAGACTGGAAAAACAGTCCTGTGTAGACCTCTACTTTAAAATGATTAACAATTCAAAACTATAACATTTGATTTGCTATGTTCACACTGTACTTTAGTTTGCAAACTACTCTGTTATACATGACTGCTGATATAATTCTAGCTGATATAATGCTAGCAAGTTCTAGTTAGAAAGCAAAAAAACTACATGGCTAACAACAACAAAAATAAAGGCAATACATCACGGTTGTAAACACAAAATTTCATTTACGTTGTGTTCATTTTGTACTGCTCATTTTGCATGACTAACTGATTAACACACTGATGCTAACATAGCAGAGGGCGTTCCTCACTTTTCCCTCCTGTCATTGTGCTGTGAGTGGCCAGTTGTGCAACATAGGTATGATGCACATCTATGTGGTGAGTCGAAGTGGGTGAGGGCATGTTAAAAAGAGTACTGAAATGGAGCTTTAGTCTAAGAACTAAGAACTATTTTCAGTGTATTGTATAGTGTTTTGTATTGTTCATAGTCTATTGACTTTTGTACTGTTAATGTCTTATCCTCATTTCTGCTGCTGTCATATTAAATGTCTCAAAGGAACTATATTCCGTTACTCACTCAGCATATGGCTGTGAGAAGAAGGAGTAACAATAAAGCTGACATTGACTCAGTGCAGTGCACCTTAAATTGCCATTATTAAGATACATTTAAGCATTTAGTCTTTCTCCAATTAGAAGAGAAAGCTCCCTGTCGCTCTCTGTTCCTACCGTTCATCATTGGGCCCACACAGTGGATGCTGTCCAGCAAACCCTGGCAAGTTAATGTGGTCCTTGATGATCATAATGTCTCCCACTTTGAAGTCCTGACAGAGGCCTCCCGAGGCATTTGTTACTATAATAGTCTCCACTCCCATCAGCTTGAAGATCCGCACAGGGAACGTGACCTGGAGAGAGTATTCACACAATCACTCAGAGCTCCTGCACAGTCTGGAGCACAGTACATAATCACAGTGCAGAATTACTGCACCTGCACTGGGACCAGCTGATGCAGAAACAGCACTATATCAATGACATTGTAATATTTTAATAGTTTAATTTTTTTATTGCGGTTTCATGGATAGAGTTAGCTACTGATTCTTGTATAAGGCCTCAAAGTTCATTTGCAACAACCGATAATCGCCATCCTGGAAAAATGAGCTGACTGTGATGAGTTATTCTTAACACACAGCACATTTTGAACCCTAAATACGTTTAGTCACAAAAGCTGTTATTGTCCACTCTCAAGGTAATTGCAAGTCCACATTTTACAGCAGAAACAGTCGAATGCCAGCGCTGTTCTCCAGCAGAACCTGATAAATCTGTTCAGCATATCAGCTCACTGCATTTGGGTCACCTGATGCAGAACTGATTATCATTTTTAGGCAGAATCTCAAATGTACAAAGTGCAGTACAGAGGTCTTAAAATAATGGCTACTGCATCTAAACAGAGCACAGTCTGTCTAACAAAGAACCACTTTGGATTCAGCCATGTGTGCATTCATACTGGACATAAAGTGCAATATTTGGGTGTAAAAGCCAAAATTTCATAATTCAAGTAGTGCACTATTTAGGGAGCAGTGAGTCATTTGAGATTCAGTCTAATCTTTTATTTCCAGATTTTCTTATAGATGTTTAATATTGCCCATCAATAGGCTGCTTTTTTGCAATTTCCAGCACTTTACCTGCTTGTTTTATGTGAAAGATTGATAAATATTGCACATAAAAGAAACTTGTATCCATTAAATGGTTTTGTTTAACTCTAAAACAGGAAATGACCATTGGAGTTATCTGCCTTTGGTATGTACTTGTTTTTATATAATGTCTATATATAGACATATACTGCCTAGCCTAGCTGTTGGCTACATTCTTAATAAAATACAAGCATTTTGATAGAAAATAAACAATTCTCATTGAATCTTTAGAGACAAATAATGAAGAAGCTAAGCAAAATAACCAAAAATGAACTTTATTTAAGCTACATACATTTTTACATGGACTTTGGGTGGATATTTTCACCACACGTTGTGTCCAACAGGATTTTAATCTGCTGGTCTTGCAGAGTTTTTACCAGTCAAATACTTGTAATAAGTGCCTAACAGAACCACCCAGCTTGAGCCCCATTTTAGTTGCTTTTGGAGTGACAAAGGAGTCATGCTTTTGATGTTTCTCAGAAGAGCTGATCTGTCATCTTGGTTGTTGCCATGCCAACAGCAGAGACAACAGTGGTTGGTAGAGTGAGCTCATGTTGCCTGAGAAAGTTCGCAAACATTGAACAGATGACTAATGAACTAATAGTGCATTTCTGCTGACTGAAAAAAAGACATTTAGTGTGCAAGATATCAGTTACACACCTTCTGATTCATTTATTTAAGTCGGAATAAATCACACACGTAAATCACACTGTGTGTAAAGGCCTTGATGTCCACCAGCTGAGGCTTTGAGGAGCTGATAAAGAGAAGCTTTAGTGATTTTAAATTTTTAAATGAGATAAATGTAAGACATTAGACAGAAGACCATTACAGAGAGAGAGAGAGAGAGAGAGGAAGAGAGAGAGAGGAAGAGAGAGACAGAAAGAAAAAGAGAGAAAGAATGAAGGAGGATAGATAAAAGGAGAATGAAAGAGGTAGAGAGAGAGCAGGAGAGAGAAAAGTAAAAGAGTGAGAGAGGTAGAGAGAGAATGATGACCGAAGTAGAGAGAGAGAGAGATAGAGAGAGAAAGAATTATAGAGGTTAGAAGCGGAGAGAGAGAGAGAGCAGTGAGTGATGAAGATCTCAGTATAGCTCAGTTCAGTATGGATGTGACAGTGTATCAGCCTGCTCTGTGTAGCTGATGAGGTTGAGGATGAGGGCGAGGGGGGATGTGTGTGTGTGTCGGGGGGCTGCACTGCCGTTACAGCTCTCTGCTGACGGGTCACACAAGAGAACCAGCGCTTTCACAAAATCCACTCCAAATCAATCCACTTCAAATTACTGCACACACGTTCACAGCTTATGGACTCTATTGAACAGAGCACTCATCCACCCTGCGGCTCTGACCGACCCTGCTGACCCTTACTGAGCATGTCATTGGAGATCAGTAGTCTTTAAATATGTCTTCAGAAGAATGCACCATAGATGCGCTGTTCTCTGTGTTGCGTGTGCATATGGTCAACACATTATGGGGCAGCTGTTTAGTAAACGTTATGATAACATCATAAACTCTAGGCTACTTCTGAATAAATGTATCATATTAATCATGAGTGGGAAATTATTTCAGCTGATTTAATCACAGAGGAGACAGTGTGCTTAACATTTAGAGGTATAACAAGTGAAAACATGGAGTGTGTGTGTGTGTGTGTTGTCAATGCCACAACAAAATCTCTTAATTTATTTTATTTTTTTTATTTGTACCAGCTGACCTTATGTGAACATGTCATGATGAATGGTACAGAAATGCTCCATGAATTAATTTCATATTTCACATACTTTAAGAATGTTCGAAATAGTTGGTGTAGTTGGTTTTATATGGAACTGTAATCAATATTTGTCTTTTTCTCCTGATTTCTCACTAAATAAACATTCAAAATGATCAGACCTACATTTTCTTACTCCAAAATGACAGAGAACAAACTACAATGAATTATATTTCAAAATTCACTACAAATCACCTGTAGTAAAGAGAGTGGCTTCCTTTAAACCTCTTACAAATCCCAGTTAAAGGAAACCACTCTCTGTACTACAGGTGATTTGATGTGTTTTGCCTTCTTTCAGCTAAGTAAATGAGAAATATAACTTGTTATGCACATTCTAGACCAGGGGTCAGCAACATGTGGCTCTGGCCCTGTTGTGGCTCCACAGCAGAATTAGATGTTTAGGTAAAAAAAAAATCGTCCTTTGCAGTAAAATAAAGCTCGTCTTACTCAGTTTTAACAATAAATGGTCTTAAATGCTGGAATCAATATAAAACTGCTATTTTCACCCTTTAACCCTGAAGGTTGGCACGTAGACTGCTGGTCATCATAGGACCACAGACAACAGTCTCGCCTAGCTAGTAGCTAACAAAAAGGCAATAAGAAAGATTTAAGATGAGCAGCGATAATTTGGAGATCAATGGACTTATTTTCATTTATAATCACTCCAGCTGGTTTCCTAACATGTTTAATCTGCAGCGAGAAACTGTCAAACACTAAAAAGTCATGAGGCTGAAGTCAGCATCTTGTTTGAATTGTTCTGTTCCACCTTAAATGGTGCAGCAGTTACATTCTGAAGCTGTCTTCAGCCTTGTAAAAAGTCAAACGTTGAGAGACATTTTAGAAGGAACTACTATTAGCGGCTATAGCTGAGCTAAAGCTTAAAGCAGAGCAAAGTAAGTCTGCGTTTTCGTTTACATTATATTTTTAGCCTATACTAGTACATTAGCACATACTGAGCCCTATTTACAGCCAAGATGGTAAAAGACATAAAACGTTGAGGCTCCCAAGGTGGTTTAATTTTTGTTGAAAAGACAAAATGGCTCTTCTTAACATTTGGGTTGCCAATCCTGAACTAGACGGTCCTTTAAGGAATAGCTTCGATGATCTGTGCTTCTGAGCCAATATGTTCAGCAAAAGTTTGGTCATTGTGGACATTTATTTCATTATATCCAACATGATATCCAACCAATGTGATGCTCTGTGTTTATATGTGGTAACGTAGACACTTCGACAGAGTGGAGGAAGCCAGGTTCCAAAAGCAAACATAAAATGTCAGCCATGTGAGTTAAAGAAAAAACCTGTCCTTGTTATCAGTGTTCTGCAAATTGTCATCAGAGGTAAGATATAAGTTAAGTACAAACTAAAAACATTTTCCCCACTCATTGTGGCTGTATGCTTTAACTTAGGACGCTAGACGGTTTGACTTTTCAGTTTGCTACTTTTTCTGTCTTAATGTACATTTCCGCTGTCCAATTTTAATTGATGTTGTCTTCATTGGGGTAAACGTTGCTTGTCAAGAGCAAACACATGTTTTACAGGGAAGTGTTGTACTGATTGTTGGGGTTAGGTTAACCTGTGCTCTCGTTAATGTTGGCATAATCTTGCTATTGTTTTGTCTCTGTTGGAAAAAAACATCCCCCTTATAGCAATGACATTCTCAGCATTCCATTTAAATTAAGTGTTTTTCTGTCTCCTGCATAGGTACCTTTTTGGAAATACAAAGTTTTATTCCAACAAAGGCTTCATGCAAGACTACACAAAAAAGAAAGCAAGCACAAGAGAGGGCGCACAATGTATTTTCTTTCAAATAAAAACAAACATACTCAATGCTGGAGTGGGTAAATAGGAGAGTCATGAGAGTTCCTGGTGGTCCGGTTACCGTGAGGTAATGTATAAACTCACGCATATAGTGAGAATGCTCAGACAAACCATGAATGCTACATCCAAGTGTTCATCTGTAGTGATTAAAGGGGTTAAACCAGCCTGTGGCAGCTTGTGGCCTTTGTTTAAAAGTGTGTTATAAGTGGCCTGTCAGCCAGTATGTTACAGTTTTACAGTGTAATGCACTGCACTGTGGTCATGAAGTTAAATAAAGTTTAGGAGCCTTTCTGCTCTGACTAGACCTGCAGCTTCATTTACTGAACAACATTTAGTCAAGACAACAACCATAAAGCACAAACTTCACACTGAAATCCAAAGTGCTCTGAGCAGTCCAACAAAGAACACTTGTGCATCTTTTATACAGTGATTGGAAACACGGTAGTTTACAGTTCTTATTCTATGTGCTGATATTTTGAAAACTCAATATGTTTAATAATTTGTGAATAATATTTTGGTATTTGACACAGTACAATCTGTCCCTCTTTAAAAATAGCTCGGACATCTATGTACTACATAAATTAACCACTCATTAGAAAACAAAGCTGAGCCTGACCTGAGCCCTAATCTGACCC